AGAGGAGGAGAGACCGAGTGTGTTAGAGGAGGAGAGGAGGACCTGTGCTCACCTGTCTTGCTGTGCTGGATGCTCCTCACTGTGCCCATGGTGGCGAAGCGGCAGAGGAGCGGGCAGCCCTCCTGCTCCACACTGTACGCCTCCACCTTCAGAACAACACAGTCAGTGAATCTGTGACACTCACCAGAATCAACACAATCTACGACTCATGAATATTGAAAGAAATAATTATTTTTTCTTTTCAATTTATTTAACATCAACACACGTCACTGATTTTATTCTTCAAGTGCAGATATTAAATTTCAAAAACCTGCATTGAGCTGTTTTCAGACACGAACTCTTGAAACTGTGTCTGCACATATTCTAATGTCTGTATCGTGTATGTTGCGTGTTAGAAACATCGTCTGGGTGCCGGCAGACGATTGCGTTCATTGTGTTTAGTCTGTGGATCCATCAGAAAAGTTACAGCCTCTAGAAGACAGCAAGGATTTCAGCTGTGCTGAGAGGTTTGAACGATGCTATCGATGCATCGTTCAGGAGACGTTACTGAATCAGTGTTTAAACGAGGTTCTTACAGATAAATAAATAAACGACCACAGAAATATTGACGTTAAACCTTGCATCCTCCAGCAGCGACCACGAACAGAGCTCCACCTCCACAGCAGACCAACCCGGGCTCCTGCTCCACCTGAGCGGCAGAGAAAAGACAGAGCGGTCAGATGTGTGTCAGAGCTGTGACTCAGTGTGAGCGAGGCTCCACCGACCTGCACGATCTGCTGAGAGGCGTACGGATGACAGTTGTACACGTGCACCATCTTCGCTCTGCTTCTAGGAGAGCTCATTGACGTGAGCCGCAGACTGTGGCTTCTTCTTCTTCTTCTTCTATGAGTGACATTAAGCTCTTCTTCTTCTTCTTCTTCTTCTGTTTTCCATCCAGCAGGACCACTAGCATAAAAAAAAAACAAGTTGTATTCATTCAGATCAGTGCAGTGTTCCCTCACAGCAGATATGAACCTGGTCGTAGTGGACGGTGCAGATGAACACATGATTTTCTCACTTGTGGTACATGATGGTGTACTTTAACATCAGCCCACCACAATAA